AGGCCCGAAACGTCAGCATTCCTGCTCCTATGATGCTGCTTGGCCTGCTGTGTTCATCCAGCTCTACACCTTGTTATCTCAAATCTTTTAATGATTGTGGTGTTCTGGAAGCTGTTGGAATGTTTGAAGAGCTGCTAATCATCAGAGAGTTGAAAACTTAATGTGGAGGTAACTACTAGATATCAAACTAAGGTGTGAAGCAACTCTATTACCAAGTCATCCATCCCATGCAAAGCATGGACCATTTTAAGAAGATGGAATCATCGAAAACAGGAGCTGGAGTAAGCCATTCATTCCTTCTAGCCCGCCTTGCTATTCATTTATGATGGCTGATCGTCCAACTCAGTAACCTGTTTCTCCTTTATTTTCCTCCATACCATTTGATCCCTTCAGCTCCAAATGCAATATCTGACTCCTTCTGGAAATGATACAATGTTTTAACCTTGGAGATAGCATGAAATGCAGGTGCTGGAAGTCAGTCGGTACAGTGTAGAGGAACACAACAGGTCAGGCAGCATCAGATGAGCAGGGTACTGATGAAGGGTCCCAACCGAAAAAAAAGTCAACTTTCCGTTCCTCTGCTGCCTGGTCTGCTGTGTTTTTCCAGCTCCACATTGTATTGAGGTGTTTGAATCTAGACCACTTTCTGTGGTAGCAAATTCCATATACTCTTCACTCCTGAGTGAAGAAATTTGTCCTTGTCTCCGTCTGAAACAGTTTACCACTGATCTCTAGTCTGAATTCCCCTGTTGTTATTAGACACATCCTTCCTGCATCTAGCCTCTCTAGTACTGTTAGAAGTTTATAGATTTGATTGTCAGTATTGCAATTTTAAAACAATTAAGTAAGTTTGCATAGTTGTTGAGTCTGCTTTCGATTTATCGTCCTTATTATTAGCTTACTTTATTGTTCATTTTTAATTGTCAAGTATGGTGCCTTGGTTGTAATTATTTATATTTATACTCACTCCTCATCTGATTCACCTACCCGCTGACCGATGTACTCAGATCGGCCGCACCATTTTTCTTTCCCCTAATTGTCTTATCTGGTCTGGTCGTGTAGTCCTCTGCAGTAGTTTTGAGAGACCTGCATTTTGTTTTTGTAATGCACAGGAAATCCATGCTCCTATTCCTCACAGATAATGAGGACTTGGGGTATAACACAGGGACATAGAGAAAAAGTACGGAGCTGTATACTTTAAAATTATTCCACCTGCTCATTGTCAAAAATAGAGGGTACTTACTTTGCTAAGTGAGCAGAAACTTTGTAGTTTCTGTAATATCAAGGATCCAAGAGCAAAGGAGTGCCCATGAACTAACATCACGGGGTTTTTTTCCCCAAAGAGGTTATTCTGCAATGTAATTCCTTCTCCTATTGTACCAACTTAGCCTGTGTACAGTCCAAGCCCTATTCAGAGACCACTTTGATTCACCATTTCTACTCTCCAAATGACAACAGCTGTCAGCTTCATTGGAAGGAATCACTCATTAATATAGTGGCAGCTTTTAAAAGTAGAGATATGGTATCACGTAATATTTTATGGCCTTGGCATGTAGGTAAATCATTTTAAGCATACTGTTTCATGGGAAAATGTACCAGAAATAGCTGATGATGGTGAAATAAGTGCATCGTGACTGCCCATTAGCAAAAAAGACTTGTTTCCTCTGTTTAAGTTCATATTTCTCTAAATCTTTTTAAGCTATGCAATACTAGTAGTAAGGTCTTAGATCTTTGGTCTTTTATTTAGCGTCGGCATTTACCACTTATGTTAAACAGTTTAATCTTTGATTAAATGGATAATTAAAGGATTTCTTTTCAGAACATAAGTATTTGTCTATTGCCAGTAGTTGTTTCTAAGATTTAATCCAAAAATAATGAAGAATGATATAGTCTTTAGTTTATGTAACTGAAAAACTCTATGTAAATCTCATTATGTTCTTTACAAGATCACTTTTATGGTATAATAACCGAGTGGTTATGTTAATGTGGCTAGTAATCCAGAGGCCTGGACAAATTATTTGGGAATTTTATCTCCTATGTCCCACAGCTGGAGCATTTAAATCCAGTTAATAGAATTAAATTTTCTACCTGTTTTACATGTTTATAACAGTAATAAACCAGCCATGAGCCTGCCAGACTATTGGAAAAACACATCAGGTTCACAAATTTTCTTTTTTAAGGAATTACATCTTCTGAGCCAACCTGCCATGTCATGTGTGTGACTCCCAGACTCTCAGCAATGTGGTTTTCTTTAAACTACTGTTTGGAAGGCGTGGCAAATACAATTATATTAATACTGCTACGGAAAAGTGTAATCCAATTAAAACCAGTGGACTACTCTTCATTGAAGTAGAGTCTTAGGTAGATTGATGAGTTAAGAAGGCATTTGGTATGCTTATCTTTATTAGTCAGTGCATTGAGTATAGGAGTTGGGAGGCCATGTTGCAGCTGTACAGGACATTTGGTTAGGCCACTTTTGAAATACTGCGTGCCGTTCTGGTCTCCTTGCTATCGCAAGGATGTTGTGAAATGTGAAAGAGTTCAGAAAAGATTTACAAGGATGTTGCCAGGGTTGGACGGTTCGAACTATAGGGAGAGGCTGAATAGGCTGGGGCTATTTTCCCTGGAACATCGGAAGCTGAGGGGTGACCTTAGACGTTTATAAAATTGAGGGGCATTGATAGGGTGAATAGACATGGTCTTTTCCCCAGGGTGGCGGAGTATAAAACTAAAGGGCGTAGGTTTAAGGTGAGAGGGGAAAATATAAAAGGGACCTAGGGGATAACCGTCCCACGCAGAGAGTAGTGCATGTATGGAATGAGTTGTCATAGGAGGTGGTGGATGCTGGTTACAGTGACAACATTAAAAAGGCACCTGGATGGGTATATGAATAGGAAGGGTTTAGAGAGATATGGGCCAAATGCTGACAAATGGGACTAGATTAATATGGGATATCTGGTCCGCATGGACAAGTTGGACCAAAGGGTCTGTTTCTGTGCTGTACAGCTCTATGACTATGATTCTACAACTGACTAACTGGGAGAGCTGTCCCACAAATAGATCAAAAAACTAAGGAAGTTCAGGGTGGGGAAAGTCTGCATTTCATGTTAAATATGAAGTAGAAGTGTGAGTGTGGTGAAGCTTCCCACACGTTGTACAACATTGCAGAAAAATTGACCTATATTGCACCTACTGTAATGAAAACAACAAGTGTGTGTCTTGGAACAATTTTGCCTGGGACCTTCTAATTGAGTGCATGGGTGCCAGTGGAGTTATATTTGCCTTTGTTGGAGAAGTTTTTGCCATACTTCTGGCCTGTGCTGACAGTGTGAGAAGTCTGGCATCTTGCAGGGGAGGCTGTGGGTGTTGGAAGGAAGGAGCAGGTTCAAATGCCATGAAGCACTTAATTTAAAAAGAAAAAGATAAAAACATAAGTTTTTGCATTGCCATGTGCTGTTTCCATTTCTGCCAAGTCTTAATATGCTGTGCAACTGAGACAGATTTCACAGTAAAGGAATTCTGATGTTAAAAGTGAAAAGCTCATAGAATCATCGAATCCCTGCAGTGTGGAAACAGGCCCTTCGGCCCAACAAGTCCACACCGACCCTCAGAACATCCCACCCAGACCCATCCCCTTAATCTACACATCCCTGAACACTCTCAGCAATTTTAGCATGGCCAATCCACCTAACTTGTATATCTTTGGATTGTGGAAGTAAACCGGAGCACCCAGAGGAAACCCACGCAGACACTGGGAGAATGTGCAAACTCCACACAGACAGTCGCCCAAGGGTGGAATTGAACCCAGGTCCCTGGCGCTGTGAGGCAACAGTGCTAACCACTGAGCCACCGTGCCGCCCTAAAAGTGCAACAATGATTGCTAGGAATTTGAAATACAGCTCTTTGCTGGATTAGCAGAGTGTACTGGTGCGTTACTTCATGAACATCTTGGGTGGAGTCCCAAGACTGTGTTTCGCAGATATATTTGAGCCAAGGCAATGCAAGTGAGTGCATATGGCCAATGTATTAAGTTTTGTAAAGTAGCTATCAATTATGGCTTTGGTTTCTGACCTACGTTCATATCAAAGTTCTTGGAAATGTGACAGACTTCTGACAAAGTGTCAGATGCAAATGTTGCCCTGCCTGCCTTAATAATATTCTGATCTTCTGTGAATTTTTAGTGTTACCTGTTGTTATTTTATCTGACTTGACATGGCAAATTTACATCTGCCAAGATGCAAAATAAGTGTCATGAAATTTCTGGAATTTTCAGCTTCAATGTGATGTTATTAGTTGATAGATAATTACTGTAAATCAATAGTAGAACAAATTGTGTTATTTGTACAACATTCATATTCCAATGATAGTTACTCCACTTTATTACTCAGTGATGAAATTGCAAGAGAAGAACTGAAGAAACTCCCAGCTCTTCCTACCCGGGCATTGCAGGAGCATCCATCACTTGCATATTGGTAAGTACAAGTAAAATTGCACAAAGAAACTATTGATAAGGAATAGATAACTTTCTGGCAGGGCTATCAGAGATGGGGGTGAGTGGCAGGCCAGGGTCAGTGTGCAACAGCGAGGTTGGGGGGAGGGGGGGTGGCAGAGCGGGGTGGCATAGGGTGGTGCATATGATACTTTATACACAATTAATGCAATGCATGACTTGTGTGAGCTTGGTTAAACAGCAATGAAAATATCCTTTGGGATGGTTTAAGAGTCAAGGACGCAACCCAGCCCACTTAAATTCATGACAGTGGACTAGACATAATTTTCTGCGTGACTGTGCAGACCAGACACTGACTTATTGGAGAGAACAGATGAATTGTTGTCATTAAATAAGCAAATTAGACAAACTGCGGTGGTTCCATGGCTGAGCAAACTGTGTTGACTGGAAGTTTGCTTTTGGTCTGCTCTAAATTATTATGTTTGTGCTTACAGTGAAGATCGAGTGATTAACCATTACAAAAAACTAAAAGGTCACAGCAGAGGACAAGCGATTGTCAAGTAAGTATATAAATGTTGCTCAGTTCATAGGCTGAATGCAAATGTGAGGTATAAAGCTTAATTAACTTGATAAGTTGGCACATCTGCAAAGTCTGTCCACACACACCAGAGAGTGCTGGAGAAATTCAGCAGGTCTGGCAGCATCTGTACATATGGTTTAAATAAATATATAAATATATAAATATATTTTGTCTGTCCTCACACTAGAAAGCACCCATTGTATATGAGAAACAGAAATTAACTAAGGGACTAATAAGAGTGAGGAACTTAATATCAGCAGAGAAAAATGATTCGATGGTAGTGGTCTTGAGTCTCCCAAGGGCATTAAATAAGCCATCACCCTCAAAGATAAGAACTCTTGCAATTGTGTGAAATATTGTAATCTGGATAGAGGATTGGTTAATGGGTAGGGAACAGTGAGTAAGGATAAACATGGTATTTTCATGATGACAGACTGTACCTGATGTGGTTGTGCAATCATCAGTGGTAAGGCAGGACAATGTCAGTATATTTACTGACAGTACCAAGCTAGGTGGGGTTGTATACTAAATAAAAACAGAAAGAACTGGAGATGCTGTAAATCGGGAGCACAAACAGAAGTTGCTGGAAAAGCTCAACAGGTCTGGCTGCATCTGTGAAGAAAAATCAGAGTTAATGCTTCAGGTCTGGTGACCCTTCCACAGAACAGTTGGGGTTGTGAGCTGTGAGGAAGATGCCAAGAGGTAGCAATGGAATAGACACATAGGCTAAATGAGTGGATAGCGAAGTAAGAAATGGAGTATAATGTGGAGAGGTGTGCAATTATTTACTTTGGTTGCAAGAATAGAAGGCAAAATATTTTTCCCAAGGTGTGAAACTTTTAAATGTTAATGTTCAGAGGAACTTGGGCATATTGACACAAGGAACACAAGCTGTCATGCAGGAAAAACAATCAACTTGTAAAGCAAATGGTATGTTCACCGTTATTACAAGGGCATTGGAGTGCAAGACAAGCAAGTCTTACTGAAGTTATATTGGTCTTTGGTGAGACTCCAGCTCAAGTATTGTGTGCAATTTTGGTGTCTGTCTTTAAAGAAGGATGCACTTCCATTGGTGGTACAACAAATGCTTGTTAAATTGGTCCCTGTTTTGTTAGGATTGTGCTATAATGAGAGGCTGAGCAATTTTTTTCTGGGTTGTGGAAGAATAACTGAATAATTGAAAGATTCAAGATTCTGAAGTGTTAACAGTACGGAAACAGAAAGGTTGTTTGGCCTGGTAGTGGCAGGGTCCTGGGGATGCAGGTTGATTATTTAGGTCTGGGATAAAGAGAAATTTCTTGACACAAAGTAAATCATTTAAAATTGTCTATGCCTGCCTGGAGTTCTGGGTTGCTCCATCATTGGTTATTTTTAAAACTGAGAAATACATTTTAATGTCAGGGAATTGGAGAATGTGGGGAACCGATAGAGAAGTGGAATTAAGGCAGAAGGTCAGTCATTGTTGATTTGAACATCAAACCAGGCATCAAGTATTCTAAGTCTGATCCCACCCTGTTCTTAAATATTGACTGAACAACTATTTAAAATCACAAGGCTGCATCAAGATCATTTTTTAAAAAAAAACAAGTTTTTGTGGGCCACCGATTCCTCACTCTGAAGTAGCTGGACCAGGCAAATCAAGATTTTTGCAGTTCAGTGGTCACTTTGCTTTGGCAGACAATGCTGAATTTATTTCTGTGCTGCTAACTATTGTATTGTCGCTGGCAAAAAAGAAACTATGCTGTGTGACCTCCTTGCAAACAGATTTCAGGTTAACATTTCTCACTGCTTGACTGATGTAAGTAACAAATTGAAATCTGCATTCTGTTCACTATTTATCAACTTTTTAGGCAGACAAACTGATGTGGAAACCCTTTGAAAATATACGATGCGGAGAATCACAGAGGCAAAATCGTCCTGACACAAACTGCAAGCAGTCTGTGTGGAATTATGCCTGCCAGTAGATGATAAAATGGTTCAATAGCTCAAGATTGTAGCCAACCTTATAATCAAACTAAGGCTGTGGCTGGCACTTTCGTTTCTTCCGTCTTAACTACAAATCAGATGAACTAATTTTAATACCTGTGCATTTTAAAGATTGAATGATCTTTATCAAGGAAAAGCAAAGCCTTTTGTTCAACAGATATAGTAGGAACTGCCGATGCTGGAAAATCTGAGATAACAAGGTGTAGAGCTGGATGAACACAGCAGGCCAAGCAGCATCATAGGAGCAGGAAGGCTGACGTTTCGTTCTGATGAAGGGTCTAGGCCCGAAACATCAGCCTTCCTGCTCCTATGATGCTGCTTGGCCTGCTGTGTTCATCC